CGCCTCCCATTCTACTTTTAGAAATTCTAGGTACCACTAGTAAACCTGCAGATTGAGAGTGAAATGCTCTGAACCCACCATTTGTTTCTGGTAACTTTTCCAGTTGGACTTGAATTTCACATTAAGGATGGGTTTTACTTTCATGTCTGCATGGAAATTTTGAAGGTAGATTTGTTTCTTAATTACTCAGTAAAAGAAAAAAAACAGCTTTTTTCTGTTTGTTTGCAACTTATTTTTGATTAAAATATAAAGACACTGATGTCCAATATACTATACGGTCCTCACCAAAAAAAACTTAACTTCAATTGAAGCTGCTTCAAACAAAAACATTTACTCCTATCAAAAAACATTTAGACATTTGGCCATGGATAAACAATTTGGGGGCCGTGTCTGGCCCGCCGGCCTTGACTTTGAGTATGTGCTTTAGATGTTACCACATAAGCTGTAAGAAAGACTTTGAAAGGGAGGCAAATACTTTTTCACACCGGTGTAGAGAGGTTAATATCTTTCATTGCTCTTCCTCCTGTCCTGATTTAGTCAATTTAAACAAGACTACTTTGATTTATCCAAATTAAAAGCAAACAGTAAAATTTCCATAGCCAAGAGGTGGAAACCAGCATCAAAATGCGAATGATAATGTCCTTTATGCATAAGTTAGGCTGTCGTAGGACATAAGTTCTGGACTTGTTATAAATACTCTGTATACGCCCAAAATTGGAAAAATACATAGAAAGTTCAGCATATGCCAGCGTCTAAGGAGATTCTGGGACGTCATAAATCGTCAAGGTATGACAGGGCCATACACTTAACGTATGTCAACGATCAGATAACTTACCTGTAACTTATTCCCCACGCACGGTATACACAGGCATACACTGGCATACACAGGCATAGGTTGTACTTGCCGTATGTCGACATTCAGCATGTTTCAGCATGCTCATAAGTTATTCAAAACGTACCCATAACTTATCCAAAGTATGCCAGCATTTTTGCCAGATTTTTCTTACATCAGGCATACGCTGGTCTAAATCGCCAAGGTGTGACAGGGGCTTAAGAAAGCTTAGGCAATTTAATGTTTGCAGCCAGACGCTGCCAACCTTCTATCAGTCTGCTCCGGAGAGTCTGATCTCTTCCTCTATCATCTGCTGGGGAAACAGCATCAGAGCAAATTACAGAAAGAAGCTCAACCAGCTGATAAAGAAGAACGGTGTTCTGTCAGACGTGCATACCCGTCAGACCAGCATACCCAGAGTCAATACCCATTTATTCCTTAAGTTTATCCCTTTAGTTTTGTACGAAAAATTAACTTTAAACTACCTCATCAGTTGTCTATCCCTTTAGTCATGTACAAAAAAAAATATTTCATTACTTATTTTTTTGTGTTTTTTCTAAGCGTATGGCGATCTAACATTAAATTGTTATTTTGTACATGACTAAAGGGATACACACCCATTGAGGTATAGTTTAAAGTCTATTTGTTGTACAAAACTAAAGGGATAAACCCAAATCTGACATCTTGCACATGCGTATGGAGTATGGGTATGCAGGTCTGACGGGGTATGCTGATCTGACAGAACATTGGCTCTTTTCCAGAAACTCCTAGAACCTCTGGAGATGATTTCACAGAGAAGGATTCTAACTAAATTGAAAAAAAGTTTTGACAACAGAGAGCCTCCTCTTCATCAGACTGTTAAACACCAGCAGAGTGTCTTCACTCAGAGGCTTAAGACAGACCTCTACAGAGAATCCTTCCTGCCTACAGCATCAACACCTACAACAACTGGACAAACAGAAAAACCTATGAGTTAACAGCCTCTAATATTCTTTTGGGATTTACAAAGGATTTCTGAGTTGAACTGAATAAAGATTGTGCAAAAATCAAGACATAAATAATTTTAATGAGCAGCCAGTTCACCTGAGCAGGTGTTTTCTCCTATTTCCATTTTTTGTAGTGACCACTTCCATTGAATCAGTACAAAGGAGTTTTAGAGCCTGGCTAAAGATTCTTTTTTTCTATTTCGAGAATAAAGTCATAACATTACGAGAATAAAGTCATAAAATTATGACAATAAAGTTGTAAAAAATTTGAGGATAAGTTGACTTTATTAACAACATTATGACAATAAAGTTGTAACATTACAAGGATAGTCGTAACATTACGAGAATAAAGTCATAACATTACGAGAATAAAGTGGTAACAATTTGAGAATAAAGTCGTAACACTACAAGAATAGTCGTAACATTATGAGTATAAAGTCGTAACATTACGAGAATAAAGTCGTAACATTACGAGAATAAAGTGGTAACATTATGAGAATAAAGTGGTAACATTATGAGAATAAAGTTGTAACATTAGGAGAATAAAGTCGTAACATTAGGAGAATAAAGTGGTAACTTTATGATAATAAAGTCGTAACATTACGAGAATAAAGTTGTAACATTATGAGAATAAAGTGTTAACATTATGAGAATAAAGTTGTAACATTAGGAGAATAAAGTCGTAACATTACGAGAATAAAGTGGTAACATTATGAGAATAAAGTGGTAACATTATGAGAATAAAGTTGTAACATTAGGAGAATAAAGTCGTAACATTACGAGAATAAAGTGGTAACATTATGAGAATAAAGTGGTAACATTATGAGAATAAAGTTGTAACATTAGGAGA